AGTTCGGCTACACTCAGACCATTCTTAGACACTTTATTGTCTATACTCTTCCTGACTTGACACGTATACTGATAGATGACATGTTTGATGATTATGAGAGTCACATGGTACATGAGGAGGCACAAAGTACCATAACTGAAAGTGATTTGAGCTATCTTGAAGGGTATATCAAATGGTTCTTCAGGGTGTCATACCCGTATTTGGTGCAGACCACTCCAGGAGATCCGGTGAGGTTAGCTCATCAGAAGATACTAGAGGAGGAACATATACGGTTAGATCATGTTAAGGATGTCTTGCCTAGATGTTCTCGCATGGTGGAGATTGCGCATACAACCATTGACACATGTATCTTCCTTGATGGGTCTGATGTGAGGAAGGTCTTAGATGCCATTATGACAGAGGCACGGGGGCATTGATGTATCAAAGACAATGTTGGAGGATGGGGAGATTGATGGCCGAGGAGGTAGAGGAGGAAGAAGAGGCAGATGAGGCAGATGAGAGGTAGTTAGACATACACAACAGTGCATTAGTATATAGTAGTAGTATTATGATCTATATATCATTTTGACATCATGCTACTTTATAAATTTTCTCGATTTTTTGACATTTATTGGTCTTTTATTTATATATGACATTTTGGACCATCTGGATTTATGTACATATTTTTTTGAATTTTGATTGTATGATATGGTTTAAATATGCATCTAAATACATGTAAACAAAACATAACATGAAGAGTAATGTTCTAATACATTACAATTATAAAGATGAGATGTTTGAGTGTTATTGAATACTTTTGTATGAATTTGTATGATTTTGAATGTGATGAATAACCTGGAGATTGGTGATTGACCGTGATGTGGGTGAAATAGGAATATATGATATTATGATGCATGTTTGATATGTGTATGATTTGTGGTGTATGAATCTACCCTGATTGCTTTGTGCACCGATTATAATGTGAACATGTTCTCAACCTCTTTTGTGTTGTTATGTATATGCTCTTAAAAAAGTATAGACAATGTGGTACCTGAGTAGGAGCTTGATCCAGATGATGGAGTTGTGCCTCGTTAGTTGTTTGTCGATCGAGTCGTATAGTTGGAGTTGCTTTGATATGTAACACGAGGGGAACATGCTGCTCTTTTATTCTGATTATGTTACATATCTTTTCATTTATTTTGATGTTGAACCACTTTTCAAACTAATAATGTTGTTTGAAGCTTTTTAATTCCAACTATTTTATAATTCCATTGCTTATCAAATGATTCAATTTTCAATTTTTTAGTTTATGTATGTCTTGTTAAGGTATGGGTATCATCCTACTTGAAGTATTTATGTGTTATACGTGTTTATTTAATTATTTGTCGAGTCGAGAAGTAAGGTGTTACACTTTCTCCACTAAAAAACACCTCACTTATTGAGTCTCCACCAGAGCAAACAGTTGGGAGGGGGCACATTAGGGAGTAACTGATAGTCACTAGGGAAGTCTCCACGACATTAAAAGCTTGGTTATTCCATAAGGAAAGCTTAGGGGGAACAACTCATATTTTGTACTCTCTGCGCATGACCCCGCCTCACAGTTTTTTGATGGCCCAAAGGGATTCTCTTCCCTCATAGGAACCTTGGGAGGGCGACTCTCGGCTGCCTGTGAAGCCTCAAGTTACGCCGCCTCCTTGACGCCTGCCATGTCTTGGGCTAAGGAATTTATCTCCTGTTGCCGAACCACCTGCGTCTTTACCAAAAGCTCTCTCTTCTGGTCAAGGGAGACCCCCACATCTCACCTAGAGATAACAAACATCAATAAAATACAATAATAAACATGCATATTATTTAACTTTTATATTATATAATATATAATTATATAATTTTGCATGTGTTTTTTATAAATAAAAAATAAGTAATATATCAAGAAATTAAAAGTTATTAGTGGATCATTTTTTATATTTCATTGTATAATGTATTGTTTCACTATCCAAGTATCCAATCCTAAAAAGTGCACCCATTGTATACAATGTACACATTGTCTCTTATTCTTTTCTCAAGTCTCTTTGTTTCCTCCATTCCCCATCTCCCCTGTTCTCATCAACATTACAACAACACTCTCCTTTGTTCATTGTATTTATGATAATTACCTTCAACTTCACTATACTTCAATTAGTAACATGTTTTTCATTCAATTAGTAAATTAATTGGTGGTTAGGTTTTTGAAAATGCAAGTGCTTTTGCATTTTTATTATTATTGATGCAATATGTGTTTTTATTTTAAAAAACAAGATAAATGCCAAATATATGTTTTTCTAAAAAATGATGTAATAATGAAATATTAGTGTCATAGTTTTGATCGAAAAGTATATATATTTTTAAAAAGATTTGATCTCTATGGATCTCTGATTCTCCGTGGGGATCTGTGGGGATGAGGATGGAGAAAAATATTCCCTCGTGGCGGAGATTAGGGGCAGGGATAGAAAAACTATTGAGGAGCAGGGTAGGGAGCGGGGAAACATCCTCCGCACATTCCTTGCCTTGTTGACATTCTTACCTATAATATGTTAAATAGGATGGTGGTAGACATCTTCCCGTGTCGATTGGCTGCAAACTGATGTATGAAATTCTTAAATAGTTCTTGATAACTGATGATGGATGCTCAGGACAGACCCATGTACCATCGCAAGATTGCATCTCTAAAGGTCCCAGAGAATAGTTTGAACTTCAAGGAGTCAATCACTCTGGTGATGGTTATCTGTGTGTTGATGGATGTGACATGCTCATAAGGATCACTAATCCCATCAAATTTCACCAAAGAGGGAGGCTTAAACCCTTTAGAGACAAACACTTCCCATATTTTTTTTTGTCTAAAATTGGTTGGGGATCCAAGACATCCATCTCCTCTAGGGGTTGGTCACTTGTTGGCGCCGTTGAATGTTGATGATGTTATCCTCTAAGCTTTAATTATGATGACATATTTCTTCCATGGTGGGACACGCCTCCTTCAGGGCATTGGAATCACTGCTTCCATAGGTGTCTTCCAACATAAAGGATGGTGCTTCCTGTTAACCATGGTTGGAAATAATGGGGGTATAAGAATGGGGATTTCAGTGAGTTTCAGAATGGAAATTATAATGGAAGGTGTGGCCCAGGTTAGTTTTATCGGGGCCCCACGGTGGACGCCGTTGTACTTGTCGAAAAAGTACCGAAGTGTGTGGTATCCCTACATGGTAGGGGATAAGCAGAGACCTTTATAGTTAATAATGGTGTAGGGATTCCTCACGGTGGTAGGTAACCATGTGTGGCTGTATTTTAGCTATGGAGAAAACAAGCTCACATGAGGTGAGAATCTTTATATTATGCATGTATATTGAGGGTATAATGTTATGTCCCCCAACCCCTAGGGTTGTGGTATTTATAAAGGCTTTTAGGTCTAATGTTTAGGAAACATTAAGAGGTGGTAGCCCCTCCTCCTTGGCTAGGGGAGATGGTTGACTTCCTATTTTCTAGGGGATCATGGTATGACTCAGTTCATGTGTTTAGTTGCTGGATAATGATACTTGTACAAGTTTTCTTTGAAAGGGAGCCCCTATGCCAAGTAAAGGTCTCGCCATAGTTGACACTTCATGGGGCGGAGACACACATGTCGCCCTTATTTAGGACTCACAAATATATTACTACATACGTTTTTTTTTTGAGAAATTAGGGATCCTCCCTCATTCTGAAAATGATGTATTTATAGAGGCTCCTTGGTCTTTTGCTAGAGAGCCAGCGAGTGGTTTCCCTTACCTTCTTGACTAAGAAACGTGGCCATTAGTGGACTTGGTCCCTTAGAATTGTGAAAAGGACAGTTCCCTTTGAATGACCCTAACTTAGTTGGTATTTTGGACACGTCATTGTCCATGTTCATTAAATGAGTGAAGCTAATTGGGATGGCTAAAGCCCAAATGGACGACTAGTTACCCATATTGAGCGAGTATTGCTCATCGCATGGTGTTATATGGCAAAACCTTGGGCGACTAAAGGTCTTATCTGTATACTCGCTCGACCCATTGCATTTGCCTTTTCATTCTTTTTCTCCTCATATTATCCCTATTGAAGATCCAATTACAATACTTTTTTTAAAATTATAAAAATTTTCCCTACTTTTTCTTTCTCTTCAAAATAAGATAATCTACAGAAGTTAAAATATATTGATAGTTTTTAGTTTATAAAATAATTGGTGTATTTAATTTAAAATATAAATCAAATACAACAATTTCTTAAGAAACTTAAAAAAATAAAATTTTGTTTATATTCTTTTTGGTCTTTTTTATAATATAACGGTTAGATATATGAGTTACTTAAAAAAAAATGATTTTAATCATAATTATAAAAAAAGAATTTTTTAAATACTTGATATATTTGATTAATATATAGGTTAGATACATCTATTTTTAATAAATTTAAAAATTAAAAATTTATTCTTAATAATAATTTAAAATAGAAATTATTTCTAATAAAATGGCCTCAGAAATTATTTAAAAATGAATATAGAAAAAAAAGTATATTTTAGCATTCTCTTTAGTTTCATATATAAATAAAGAATTTTGATAAACACATTAAATAATTAATATATTTGATAAATTTATAAAAAAAAACAATAATTAATAAAATTTTAATAAATTAAAAAAATATATATATTTGTTTATAAATGAGATTTAAGAAAACACACTTTTTAATCATTATTATAAAAGAATATTACTATACATAACATTTTTCTAATTAAAACTTGAATGAATGCAGACGTATTTCTGATTCATATTAGTGTCCAGAAACGTAAACATCAGTCAAACTTTTTCATTCACAAAGCTTCTTCATTTGCTTATTACTCCAACTTTTCCCACTTTAATTTCAAACTTTCTAGATTTTTCATAGACCAAACAACCGTCATCGCTGACACCACACAATATGTATATGTGCTATAAATACATATTCAACCCAAGCAACACTGCATTCTATTATTCTTCAAAGCAATGGCCACTGTGTATGAATTAATCAAAATTCTTTTATTTCTTCAATTCTCTTCTGATCTCTAACTAACTCTCTTCTTCCTTCTTTCAATTTCTTAGCACCGTTCGTCCTCCTCCGCTAACTTCAACTTCGGAGCCACCTCCTCTTTTCGACGGAACCACCAGGTTTTTTCTCCTTCTCCTAATTCCACCTTAATTATTACAGTACTATTTTCCAATTTTTTTCTTATTTTATTTTACTCTTAGGTTGTACATCAGTTATACTTGCCCCTTTGCACAACGTGTATGGATCACTAGGAACTACAAGGTTCTTTTTAGTTTCTATTCTATCATTTGCATGTTCCATAATCCAATTTACATTTTTCTAATTTTATATTTTTTTCAGTCTCTGTGACTAATTTTTAATTGTATTTGTTGTAATTGAACTATAGGGACTACAAGACAAGATCGAATTGGTTCCTATTGATCTTCAAAACAGGCCTGCGTGGTATAAGGAAAAAGTTTATTCGGAGAATAAGGTTTGTTATTATGACTTCATCATTATATTTGATGTTAGGTTAGGTTGCAATGGTGGGGACGTTTGATTTGATATAAATATAGGTGCCATCTTTGGAGCACAATGGCAAGGTATTGGGAGAAAGTCTTGATTTAATCAAATATGTTGATGCCAACTTTGAAGGAACACCTCTCTCTCCCAATGTAAGTTACAATTCCAAACATTAATTAACTCTCTTTATCATTAAAATTGATTTTCACTATAAATTTTTTGTAGGATCCTGACAAAAAAGAGTTTGCTGAGCAGTTGTTATCCCATGTTGATACCTTTCTCAAAGATTTGTTCAGCTCATTCAAAGGGGATACTGTGCAACAAGCCAGTAAGTTGAGGAAAGTTTTTTCTTTTTATGCAAATTCAAAATAGATACTTAAATTGGTTATTTTGAATTAGGTTCTGCTCTTGAATACTTGGAGAATGCCCTTGGTAAATTTGATGATGGCCCGTTCCTTCTTGGTCAATTCAGTTTGGTGAGTTTAAATCAAATCAAAGGGAGACTTCTATAATGTTCTCTAGGATTCATCTGGTAATATCTATGACTTTCCCTCCATATGTAATTTGAAAGTTCACGTGATTAGGTGGATATTGCGTACATTCCGTTCGTAGAAAGATTCCACATTGTCCTTCCTGAGTTGTTCAAGTATGACATAACAGAAGGAAGACCTAAACTTGCAACATGGATTGAGGTACTCTAGAATAACTGCTTGTATAGAATTTCTGACCTTGATTACGAAAATTGTATCAGTTTACTTTCATAGGTTCCTATTCACAATAATCATCAATCTAAACTAGAAGAAAATTTCTTCATTACAGCAAACAGTAATGCATTTTAAAAGGAAGCAGGAGTACTATCTCTTTAGACATAAGAGAAACTCATTCGTGAATGAAAATGTTTCTTTTTGTAGGAGCTGAACAAGATTGATGCTTATACACAGACAAAAGTGGATCCTCAAGAAACCGTTGATACTTACAAGAAACGTTTTCTGGTACTACATTTGATTTTGAACAATTGTGATTGGATTGTGAATGTTTTCTTTGTTATATGGTTCAAACTTTTGTATTTCTCTACTGTGCAGCCTCAACAGTGAAAATTGAATTGCAGCAGCCTTCATATGAGACACTCCAATAAAGCATCGTTTGTATTAATGAGACGCATCTTCAGCCAAATATTGGTGTTGTAATAATGCCATAGTTATGTTTTACTTTCCAACTTGTTTGTTTGGTGTTGTAATAATGATTGTGTACCAGCTTTATGATCACTGATCAGAATATGATGTTATTCTATGTTGGTAATAATACTTAATAAACTTTTATACTTGTCAACCTTGATTTATTATGTTAAAATTTTGCTTGAGAGCAGAACATTTTAAACAATATTGATTAAGTTAATCTTAGATTTAAGAAGTACTTATAAATTCTTAATCAGAAGGAATCAATTCTCCATTTCGTCATTCGTCTTTGAGGTGGCACAAAGAAACGTAAGAAGAAGTCATACACCAAGCCTAAGAAGATCATGCATAAGCACAGGATGGTGAAGCTTGTGGTTCTGCAGTTCTATAAGGTTGATGATTCTGGAAAGGTGCAGATGCTGAGGAAGGAGTGCCGTAATGCGGAGTGTGGTGCGGGGACTTCATTTTGATCGTCACTATTGTGCTATGTTTAACAGAAGGCTGAAGCATGAGTTTTATTATGTTGATTAAATAAATATAAATCAGATTTTGCTCTGTTTTAAATTATGATTTCTGTTATTTAGTGCAATCGCTTATACTCTAATATGTTGATGATATTCTAAATTGTTAGTTTGGGAATTCAGTTCTTTGTTTGGCTTAACAAAACAAGTTTATTGAAAATTGATTTTGGTTATGTGAGGCGCGTTTAGGTTTTTTTTTCTTTCTTTTTCTTTTTGGTTTACCAAACTGTTTATTTTGAGCGAGGCTGCAATTTTATTGTGTTATATTTGGCGATAGCAATTTGTGATTTGATATATTTTGTCAAGAATGATGCCTGAGTTTTTTTTCCTATTCGTTTGGAAGAACTTATTTGTGTATGGATTCTGATTTCAGCTGATTTTCACATGCTTATCCATGTATCTTACTATCATAAAATTAATTTTATTAAAACATTTGTGATGGATCAACGATTTGAGACAATTTATTTTGTTATAGTAAAATGTACAATTTAATATTATTGAATTTAGAATGTTGATGACTGAGAAATATATTTTAAAAATCTTTATTATTTTAGACCTTTAGCTGAAAAAATTGATTCGATTGTTGGCAAAAATTACTGGAATTTTGTGAGTGATTTGTGCCACTGAACCACATTTCAACTTCTTTTCTATTCTCTCTTTCAAATATGAAAAATTTCTGAAAAAAATTAACTCGGTTGTTGGCAAAAAGAACTGAATTTTTGTAAATGATTTGTGCCAATGAACCACATTTCAACTTCTTTTCTATTCTCTCTTTCAAATATGAAAATTTTGCATGTCTATTTATTGTAAACCGAATAACATCGGTATTCCGAAAATTAAAATCGGATAAGTCACATTCAAATGTCTCACCATTGATGTAAGCATTGGTCATGTATTGGGGTGAAGAAGCCATTTTATGAAATGCAATGTATTTTAGTGTATTGGTGGTGATAATGCAATGTGAGTTGGTTCTGAAACGAATATGCATGCACTTAAATAAGATCCAAACAACATGACCAAACTGAACCCATGCGCCACAAGGTATGACACATGCTTTATGTTCTTCACAAAGGTGCCATTGATGTGGTTTGTCACATGTTCTGCTACATTGCATGCATGCCAACCTCAGTCTAGCCTCCCTAGTCTACCAGTCTGTCACGATGCACTGCATGCATGACCCTAGGACACGCCACTTTGACTGGCGTATGTGTCCAAAATTAAGCTCATCCGCCATAGGCTATGGCACATTAGTAGAAGGTTGCATGCAAAAAAAAATTTCACGTGAATGCTTTCATCTTCTATAAATATGGCTATGTCTCAACATATTTCAATAAACAAAATCAGCAAATACACTTTATCAGGAAAAAACATGCAAAAACGTTACAAAATATGCCTTTATTAATCATGGGTGACACAAATAGAGGAACTATCAATAACATTGTGGAGTTTGTAAGTTATTATTTTGAATGTATTACTAAATTTGTTGTTAATCATTTTTCCTTGATTATTTTTTGTTAGGATCCAAAGAGATTTCGCTGTCGAGTACATGAATATGTCCCACAAAACGATTTGATAGAACCATATTTATGAGTAGCCATTTTTGGTCATTTACTCAACATAGTCTCATACTCTATTAATTTACAAATGTATCATCGCTATGGTAGAAAGTTGAAGACCCGAGATACACACATTTCATCTTCCGTTCAGTGAATGTACCGTCAACCTTGAGGACATGTACATGTTGTTGAGTCTACCTATCGAAGGTGGCTAGGGCTTTTATTGGTAGAGTTAACCCCGATAACACAATATGCGAACAACTTTTGGGTACCCCTTTGTTTAAAGACACAACAAGGGGTCAAGTTATTAATCTTAAGTATCTTACTGTCGTACCTCGAAAAATACGATCCTCGCTGTAATACCCCAAATTTTACCCTTTCTTTTTTATTTTTATTTTAAATTCTTATTAACCTAATAAATTAACCTTTTTTTTAGATCTTGTTTTTTAACTAATAATAATTTAATTAATTTTTTTTTATAACTTTACTAATGTTTTTTTATTAACTTTTTTTTCTTTTTTCTATTTAGTTTATTTATTTAAATCATTTTAAGCTCTTCTTACTAACTTTTACGATTTAAATTAAAATTAAAATTTTTTTTTCTTCTTTTCTTTAAGAGTAAATTTTTTTTATAACCTTTTTTAAATTAATTTCTAACACATTTTTTAATCAAATTCTAATACCTTTTTTAAAATAAAAATCTAACTTCTTTTAAAATTAAATCTTTTTTCTAACTTTTTTAAAATCTTTTTTCTAACTCCTCTTTAAAATTTAAATCTTTTTTCTATCTTTTTTAAAGTTAAATCTTTTTCTATCTTTTTTTAAGTTAAATCTTTTTCTATCTTTTTTAAAGCTAAATCTTTTTTTCTAACTTTTTAAAATTAAATCTTTTTTTCTAACTTTTTTAAAGCTAAATCTTTTTTTTCTAACTTTTTTAAAGTTAAATATTTTTTTCTAACTTCTTTTTAAAATTAAATCTTTTTTCTAAATTTTATAAAGTTAAATCTTTTTTTTCTAACTTTTTTAAAAAAATTAAATCTTTTTTTCTAACTTTTATAAAATTAAATCTTTTTTTTCTCTAACTTCTTTTTAAAATTAAATCTTTTTTTCTAACTATTTTAAAAATTAAATCTAACCTTTTTTTATAAATTAAATCTATCCTTTTTTTTTAAAATTAAATCTAAATCTTTTTTTGACAACATCCTTTTTCAAATTAAAATTCTAAATTCCTTTTAAAATTAAATTCTAACAGTTTTTAAAATAATTCTAACACTTTTTTAAATCAACATTCAAATGTTTTTTATTTTTAAAATTCTAACTCATTTTTTTTAAACTTAAAATTCTAATTTTTATTTAACTTGAAACTCTTACTTTCTTTGCTAACTTTTTAAATTTAAATCCAACACTTTTTTAATCAAATCCAATTCCAATGAATTCCAGATGGAGCAAAATCAAATCAATCAGATCATATCATCATCATAAGAAAATCAGATCTAAATATCAACATCACCATCATTGAATCAAATCTGAAATCATCATAAAAATTCATTCAAATCAAATCAGAGATTGAAAAAGATTGATTCATTCAAATCAAATCTGAGATTGAAAAAGATTTAAAAAAATCAAGTATAAAAGGACCCTCAGGAGCAACAAAACGGGAATCGACAAGCATCAAAAACTCTTACAGTCTTCATCAAAAGTAACTAACTCTTCTTTTTTTTAATTTCTAATCTTTTTTATATCTTTTTTTCAAAATTTCTACCATTTTTTCTTAATTAAAATTCTAACATTCTAACTCTTTTTTTATTAAAATTCTAACCTTTTCTCTTTTATTTTCAAACTTTTATTTTTATTTTCTAACCTTTTTTTTAAAACCAAATTTCGAAGTTCTAATTTTTTTGCTAACTTTTAATTCTAACTTTTAATCTATTTTTTTTCTTAATCACATTAAAAACTCTAACTTTTCCAAATCTCACAAAAAAAACCTAATTCCATTCTAACTCTTTTCTTATTACCTAAATTCTCATCGTCTCAAAACGTTCATCACTTAACTTCTAATTATTGTCAATTCCAATTTTCATCCTTCATTCCTAACAATATTCTTGATTATCCATGAACCTGTTCACTAATATTTATTTATTTATTTTTGTATTTATTTTTATATTTGTACATAATCTGACATCATCGTTGCTATTTCATATTCCATTATCACTTGTATATCATCATCATCTTCTTTGCATATTAATTTTCATTGTTTATTAATTTTTCGCTAACATCCTCATTTTTAAGATCCAAATTTCTAACTTTTTTTCTTGTTTCGTTAATTATAATTTTCTACTTAAATTCCTAACATTCCCGTCTAATTTTTTGTCTAACCCCGTATAATAACAGTCTCAGTTTGTTTTGGTTTTTTGCAGCTGACTAAGTTCAATTGATTTTATTTTCAGTTTAAATATTCAATTATCATATTTGTAACTGCTTATGGGATGTAATTTTGCGAGACAATTGTCGCATTTATCTTTCCGCACTTTATGTTCTGCCATTGTATGTTTATCGCGTCTTTACCAATAATTTCACATCCGAAGGTTAGGTCTAGCTTTTGGTCGCCGCGCCAATAGTCCTCAACTTCAAACCCTTTCACCTTACAAACCCTAATTTTCACAAATGCCTCGCCGCAGGCAAAATTACCATTTTACCCCTAGCATTAGGTCAAAGAGCCGCCGCGCTCAGTTTAGGGTTTCCCGCCGTGGAATCCCTAATTTAACCCTAATTACAACTTAACAATTCAACGTAGAGATTTGGAGTTTCTACACTCCGCGTAAGCGTTTCCTTAAGATGCGTT